CGCATCGCAGGCACGCCCCCGCGCAGCACCTCATCGCTGCCAGGCAGCGAAGCGATTCTCATCGCGAGCATCAGACCCTCCTTACCATCTAGGAACAATCTGAGCCTCTGCTGGGCGGACTCCAGCGAGCCCAGTTCGCTTGGAACGACCTGCAATAGACCTTCCGTCCGACCGCCTCTGTCGGGGTTGCTACACGGGCCCCCCCATAGGCGTACATCGAAGCTCACAGCTAGCACACCACTGCTAGCCTCTCCTCTCTCGAGTGCATGCGCTGCGAGAACAACTGGCAGCTGCTGCGGGGGATTCCTCCAAGGTGGCGCCACGCTTCATTGAGGCGCCGATGCACGCAGGCCAAAGCGCGCTGGAAACCGGCACATTTTGCTCGGGTGTGCAGACGGGGCGTGTTACGCCTTGATCGCCACAGATCCATTTCTATTCTCAGTCGGGGGCCCCTTTAGTCCGCGCCACGGGGGAGGGTGTTTTCCCTAACCGTGTTCGTTTTGCGGCACCTGCCGCCAGTGTGAGGCAGGCCTGAGCGACAGCCAAGCCCCACTAGGCGTGGACGAACTGCTGTCCGAACTGTCGCGTTCTCCCCTCCACTCCCCTCGCCCTCCCCCTCCACTCCCCCCTCCCCTCCACCTCCCCAACCACTCTCCCTTCCCCCTCCCTTTCTCTCTCTCTCTCTCTCTCTCTTTTCCGATCACCTCAACCACTCTACAGTCGGCCCGGATTAGTAGGTCGACCCTGCCAGCTCAAGGGTACCTTTGTGTCCTGTGCCTCGCGACACGTGCCTTCTTACACTTCAACGGCGATGTGGCCTTCGGAAGGGTCTTGTGTCCTCTCGCGTGTCCTCTCCAATCAGGTCCGACTGTACCCTCTCCCCCCTTCGCCTTATTCCGACCCGACTGATCCTCGTCGGTCGGATTTCGGGTCACAACTCGGATCTCCAGCGGCCCCGGGAATGCCTTCGGCGAGGCGCAGTTGTTTGGGGAGCACCGTAAGGCCGCGAGGCCAAAAGAACGAGAACGCACGAAAACCTCGAGCCTGGAGCCCCTCGCGTCCGTCAGCTCCCCCCCGTTTCCCCCTCCCCGCCACCCCAGGTCCATGGGATGCCCAGGATCGTTCTCCCGCGATCGGTGCGCCGAGGACCCGCGCGACGAACATTGTCCGTCGGGGGAGGAGGAGGAGGAGGAGGAGGAGGAGGAGGAGGAGGAGGAGGAGGAGGAGGAGGAGGAGGAGGAGGAGGGAGGGGCGAGGAGGAGGAGAAGGAGGAGGAGGAGGAGGAGGAGGGAGGAGGAGGAGGCGAGGAGGAGGAGGAGGAGGAGGACCAGTGTAAACCCAAGAGTCATCCATGATGTTGGAACAAGCCCTCCCTCCAAGCTCCCTCTTCACAGGCCCCTGCAACGGTTCATTTCCGTTGGGGGAGCTACCGCGTTGAAAGGCAACCGTTCGAGGACCCTGAAGCACGCCAAGACATTGTTCTCGGAATTCCAACGCCACGGACCAACATGACTGTTGCGTTCTGACGATCCGGAATCGTACTTCAACACCGCGAATTAGCGTAACTGTTGCACCCTCATAATCCTGAACTGATCATGGGAATCCGTGAAACTCTTGCAAGTGTTTAAAACGAGTATGCGCGGTTCTACGGCGGGGAAATGGAGCCGCCCTCAATCCGTGAAATTTGTTTTGCAAATGTTTGAAACGAATGTTCGCGGCGCTAAAGCGGGAACCACATTTTGAAAACGGGTTCCCCTCAATCCGTGAAGATTTTGCAATTTTGTTTAAACGAATGTGCGCGGCGCTACGGCGAGAGCCACATGTTGAAAACGACCCGTCCTCAATCCGTGAAGCTCTTGTCATTTTGTTTAAACGATGTGCGCGGCGCTACGGCGAGAGCCACATGTTGAGAACGACCCGCCCTCGATCAGTGAAAAGCTTGCATCGTTTAGGAAGAATGTGCGCGGCGCTAAGGCGAGAGCCACATTTTGAAAACGACCCGCCCTCCATCTGCGAAACTGTTGCCCATTTTTTAAGCATCAGGGCCATACATGGTGAGGAAGTCTCAGACGAAACGCCCAGAACGCCCTAAAAACTGGCTTCGGGGTGCGACAACGAGAGGTTATTTAGAAAAAAAGGAATGGAGGGGTGTGGGGGAGAGTGATGGGGACGACGACGACGACGACGACGACGACGACGACGACGACGACGACGACGACGACGACGACGACGACGACGACGACGACTACGACTAGGAGACCGAGAAACAGTAGGAGAAGCAGGAAGGGAGGAGGAGGAGGAGGCGGAGGAGGAGGAAGAGGAACAGGGCAAGGAGGAGGACAAGAAGGAGAGCTATCACCAGCAGGAAAGCAGGAGGAAACGGAGGGAGCAGGAGGAAGGAGATGAAGGAAATAGGGATGAGGGAGGAGGATGGGCAGAGGGAGGGATGGGACAGCAGGGAGGGAGGGCTGAGGTTGAAGAAGGGCTGGGGGAGGAGGGAGTGCGGAGGAGAGAAAAGGGATGGGGCAAGGAGTAGGAGGATGAGGAGGAGGGAGGAGGAGAGAGGAAGAGGGGAGGAGGAGGATGAGAAGGAGGAGCAGGAGGAGGAGGAGGAGGAGGAGGAGGAGGAGGAGGAGGAGGGAGGAGGAGGAGGAGACGGATGCATTCCAAGGGGGACTCCTGACCTCGAAGCTGCCTGAGGAGCGTCGGTCTCCACTCGTTGTGGTCCCTTTGATCCCAGCCTCATGCAGCTGATTCCCCACACCTGTGTACCCATAGTTCCCACATAAGCAGCTGGCGCGTCCTGGGGATACCCGGGTCGCCGCGGCATCGTCTGCTACTCTGCGTGCACATCCTCTCGAAAGGAGCACAGGGCCATGCGGCCACTGCAGGGGTGCTGGACGGTCGATGGGTCCGAACGGCCACCACAACGGCACCGGAGCACCGCTCGAGCGCTCCGCCGCGCTCCACAGCCATGAATTACCCTGAACGCTGCTCTGCCGCGCCATGGTGCCACTGCGCCGCAGAGGGTCGCCCCACTGGGCGTTTTCTTTTGCGGAGCTGGGCGCCCTGGCGCGGACGGGCGAGCGACCGCTGCAGCGGGGCGCCCTGGCAACACGGTTGCCGCGCAACGCTGGTGCCGCGCACAGGCGGCGCCGAACAGCGGGCCTGGAGGCGGTCCCGATGTTTCCGTTCTGGGCCAGGGGGGGGCCTGGTGAGCTTGGCGGCGACCCTCTGTCTGCTGTTCGGGCTGGCACCACCTGCGGTCGCAGGGGAAGCCAGCGTCCCCGCCAGATGGACTGGCAGGCGGCCTGGAGGTAGAGTCGGCCTGGATTAGTAGGTCGACCCTGCCAGCTCAAGGGTACCTTTGTGTCCTGTGCCTCGCGACACGTGCCTTCTCACTTTCCTATGGCGATGTGACCCTCGGAAGGGTCTTGTGTCCTCTCGCGTGTCCTGTCCAACCAAGGCCGACTGTAGAGCGGTGTGCAACCGCGTGGAGCGAGGTGGCGTCAGGAGTCGCAGGCAGGGTGGCCAGTGAAGCGGGTGTGGCCCCGCAGCCCCCAATTTTTTTGCGCCCGTAGCCAACCAGGACCACCACAAGCTGTCTCGCGCGTTCCCGCCCGCCCGCCAGCCGACCACATACATAACACCCGAGACTCAGCATTGGGGGTGGCCCCCATCCGTTTGACTGCTATTGCGAGCCAATTCAGACGGCAGGTGCGCCACGCTTGCGAAGCACACCCTGCGGGGCGCGCCACGCACTCCTGGTGCGCCATCTGCGCCAGTTGTCCAGGTGCGCTCGATGTGCCAAGTGCGGCACGCTTGTGCTCCCGCGCCACCATGATCTTCCAGTGGGTCTTCCGGTGCGGAGTGATGATGGGCTGCCCGCCCACGGTCCAGTGTTCGTTACAACGTGCTAGGTCGCACCCCGCTCTTGCGGATCAGAGTGGGGGAGCGGCGGCGGGTGCAACGCCGCGGCGACCATGTCGTGCCCCCCCCAAAAAAGATTGTCCCAAGTACCGCCCCCAAGCACTACCCCCATGTAGTGTCTGTTGTAGCAACTCCCCGGTATCGCCCCCCACGCGTTGACTCAAAGTAGCGCTCCCATGCGTTGCCCCAAACTACCGCCCCCCAGAGACGAAGCCCTCCATCCAGCCACGCGCGCAGGGGAGAAGTAAGACCGTGCGCACTCCCTCACTCTGACTTGCCAGTATGATATCCCAAGGGTCTTGTCCGACCGCCAGAGCGACCACGTTGCACCCCCTTGGAAAGCATCCCAGGCAAAAGCTTGCCCCCCCTCTTCCCTGCACTCCCCATCCTCCTTTTTCTCGCTGCCGATCTTCCTCCTGCTCCCCGTTATCCTCTTCATCATCGTCAGCGCCGTTGTCGTCATCATCCTCTTCCTCATCACCATCACCATCACCATTCGCATCATAGCATCATTAGCATCCACATCAGCATCATCGTCATCATCACCACCATCGGCATCACCATCATAAGCATCAACAGCAGCATCAGCATCATCATCACTTTCATCATCACCTTCATCATCACCATCATCGGCATCAACGACAACATCATCACCATCGTCAACATAATCATCAGGATCACCATCACCACCACCATCAACATCAACAGCACCATCGTCACCATCATCATCAACATCATCAGTATCGTCACCATCAGCATCATCATCAGCATCAGCATCAGCATCATCATCATCATCATCATCATCATCATCAGTATCATCAGCAGCATCATCATACTCATCACCATCATCAGTACATCACCAGCAGCATCCGCATCAGCGTCACCGTCATCAGCATCCCTCTTCACATCCTCCCCCTCCTCTTCCTCTTACTCCTTTCACTCCCACCTCATCCCTTATCCCTCATCCCTCCTCATCCTGCACCAGGGGCGGCAACCCCAGGAGGCCACAGGAGGCCCCAAGAGGCCGCAGGATGATATCCCGTCGTGGTCGCACGTGCCCCCCCTTACAGGTGGAGGTGGACGCCGACGCCCCCGAGAACCTGGCGCCGAAGCAGGAGTGCACTTCCGCCGGGCGGGCGCGACAGATTCGTCCTCGCCTGTCCCCGAGGAGGAGGCGGAGGGCCAAGGGCCAAGGGCGGAGGAGAAGGAGGAGGAAGAGCACGAGGCGGTGAAGGAGGAGGAGGAGGAGGAGGAGGAGGAGAGAAAGGAGGACGAGGAGGAGGAACAGGAGGACGAGGAGGAGGAACAGGAGGAGGGAGGAAGGAAGAGCGGCACAGAGGGAGGCAGGAGGATGAGGAGGAATAGGGAAAACGGATGGTGATGATGATGATGATGATGATGATGATGGTGATGGTGATGGTGATGGTGATGGTGATGGTGATGATGATGATGATGATGATGATGATGATGACGATGGTGATGCTGATGATGATGATGATGATGATGATGATGATGATGATGATGATGATGATGAGATGACGATGATGATGATGATGATGATGATGATGATGATGATGATGATGATGATGATGATGATGATGATGATGATGATGATGAGATGATGCTGATGATGATGATGATGATGATGATGATGATGATGATGATGATGATGATGATGATGATGATGATGATGATGATGATGGTGATGGTGATGGTGATGGTGATGGTGATGGTGATGCTGCTGATGATGATGAAGAGGATGAGGGTGAGGATGAGGGTGAGGATGATGATGAGGATGAGGATGAGGATCAGGATCAGGATGAGGATGATGATGAGGAGGAGGAGGAGGAAGGAGGAGGAGGAGGAGGAGGAGGATGAGGATGATGATGAGGAGGAGGAGGAGGAGGAGGAGGAGGGAGAAGGAGGCGGCGAACAGTGAGCCGTCGTCGGTGCTTTTAGGCCCTGGACCGTGGCCTGGCACGGGGTCGCGGGCGGCCCGCGGCGGCTTGGGACCGCCCGAGGCCTGCGAAGGAAGGACGGGGAGGGAAGGAGGGGGGGGGGGGGAGAGTGAGAGAGAGAGAGGGAAAAAAAGAAAGAAAGAAAGAAAGACAGAGAGAGATAGAGAGATTGGAACGGCAAATGGGAGTCCCGTCGACAGCCGGCTACTGCGGTAGCCAAGGCCGCCATTGCACGCTGAGCGGTGGTGCCCACCTTGGGGTAGGGTGGACGTTGAAACAACCCCCCCCCCGGCGCAAAGCGACTCAGGTAAAAAGGCGGGAATCGGGCTGGCGAGAAGGTGGGCCTAAGGCCTAGGTGGGGGGCCCTGTGCGGGCATGCGCGGCCCTGAAGAAGGTCGTGCAGCCTTTGGACGAGCGCCGCCCCGTCAGGCGAAAGATTTGCGGCAAGGGACGCGAAGGCGTCGCGCGCGCGGTGGAGGCGCTGTACGAGCAGCCCTTGCTGGGAAGGGTGGGCGCGGACTTGGTGAGAGAGGGTAGAGAGCTGGTGACGCAGGGAGTCGTAGGACTCCTTCCTGCAGCTCGGCGACCCGGCCTTGGGTTGAGCTCGGAGCGTGGAGTGGACGGCCATCAGCAGCCCTGTCGGCGAAGTGTGCGTGGCAAGGTCGGCGCGGCGATCAGTGCCTCGTGTGGGCACGGGTTCGGCCTTGGGGCCGCCGTAGGGCGGCGCCGTAGGGTCCCGCGGACCGACAGGGGACGCACTGTGCGCTCCGTCGCGGGGGGGGGTTGGCAGTCGGAACTGTTGGGTTCGGTGGCGCGGCAGGGGCGGCGGGAGAGCCTGCGACTGGGACAGTGGGGTGCTCGAGCTTGGGAGGGGGGCCAGTTCCCGAGCCCGGCCCAGAGCGCGGCCTCTGGGCGCGGACGGTAGTCGGGGGCGGGCAGGTGCCCTTGTCACGCCCTCGGCCTGAGGGTGGGTACTTGCTCGAGAGAGAGAGAGAGAGAGAAACAAAAAAACAGAGAAACAGAGAAACAGAGAACAAACAAAATGAAAGAAAAAGAAAGAGAGAAAGAGGGAGAGAGAAAGAGAGAGAGAGAGAGAGATCAACAAAGAGAGAGAGAGAGAGAGAGAGAAGAGGAGGGTGAGTGGGGAAGAGGAGGAGGGAGGAGAAGGAAGGGGGGGAGGAGGAGGAGGAGGAGGAGAGGAAGGAGGAGGAGAGCAGAGAGGAGGAGCAGGAGCAGGAGCAGGATGAGCAGGAAAGCAGGAGAGCAGGAGAAGCAAGGAGGAGCAGGAGGAGCAGGAGGAGAGGGTGGGAGGAGGAGCGGGTGGGAGGGAGGTAAAAGGAGAGGTGGAGGAGAAGCAGGGGGGGGGCGGGGCAAGTGGGAGGGAGGTGGAGGGAGGTTGAGGAGGAGGAGGAGGAAGAGGAGGCGGAGGAGGAGGAGGAGGAGGAGGAGAAGGAGGAGGAGGAGGAGGAGGAGGAGGAGGAGGAGGAAGGAGTGAGGAGCGAGGAGGGAGCAGGAGGAGAAGCCCGCGCTGGGTGAGCCGGTGGCCGCATGCGCTCGAAACAAGAAGCGAGAGAAAGAAGGAGCACGAGGAGGAGGAAGAAGTTTGGTGAGGAGGAGGGACGGCGGGGAGAAGGGCGGGGAGGAAGGAACTCGGAACTCGAAATCCGCGGGAAGACGCCAGAGAGCATCGTTGCCGGGGGTGCGCGCTACGCTGGAGCGGGGAGGAAGAGGGAGGGGAGAGGAGGGGAGCGGGGTAGGAATGCGGCGGGGATGGTGGACCAGCAGCCGATGGCCACAGTCACGACAGGGCACAATGAATGAACGCCGTGCCTCTTCCTCCTCCTCCTCCTCCTCCTCCTCCTCCTCCTCCCTCCTCCTCCTCCTCTCATCATCATCATCATCATCATCCTCATCCTGATCCTGATCCTCCTCCTCTCCTCCTCCTCCGCCTCCTCCTCCTCCTCCTCCTCCTCCTCCCTCCTGCCGCCTCCCTCTCATTCTTTCGCGAGGGCGGGCGATCAGATAGGACAGGGGGGCGTGCCGCGCGGCTGCGGCCGCTGTGCGCGAGGAGCTGCCGCAGGGGGGCGGAGGGACGTGGAGATGATTCGCAGCCAGGCGTCGCTCTTGAAAGGCGCTTGGGGAGTCCCGACGCGACGCCCGTTGGCGTCGCGATGATGCCGCCCCGATCTGCCAAACCGCACATGCACAGATACGCAAAATATGTGTTGCAGCGTTTGTTTCATGACCCTCTCTATATTAACAGACCCACGTTGGAACCCAATTGGGGACGCCATCCCAAGCACCCATGCAGAGGGGAAGCGAACGGCACCCCGCGGGCGACCGCAGACAGAGGGGGGCGAGCCGAGGGGCTGGACGGTGGGGAGAGCCCTTCTTCAGCAGCGCAGGATGCCAGTGACCACTGGCACTGTGATGTTCCAACCTTCTCCTGCTTTGATTCCCAGAGCGGCGATGCTCGTTCGGCACTTCGCCCGCGTGTCGGGCAGCCACTTGCTTCGATACTTGTCTGCGTACTCGGAATTATGTTTGGGATGCGGTCCTTAAGTGCGATGGGAGCAGCGTAACTGCAGTCTGCCCTGCTGAGGGTCGCGTCGCTGTCGTGACCGTCGCAGTCGCCGCGTCTGCCACCGTGTTCCTCGAGGAACACGGCGGCCGGCGCGGCAACAGCGGCCAGCTGCAGCGGCCACGGTGGCATACACCCGACGACCCGCCCGTGTCGCGAGTCGCCCAGGTCGTCGACGAGCCGGGCCTCGAAGGGAGAGCACAGAGGCCACAAGAGGGGGAGCACACTCACAGAGGCCCAAGCGGCTTCCCCGCGGCCCTGAAGCACATGGGTCAGGAGGGGAAAAAACACACAGACACAAGTAATCGTCGATTCCCCAGAAAATTTGGGGAAATATGGGAAGTGGGGGGAAGACAGAAACCCAGAAAATATGGGGAATCTGGTTATTTGTGTCTATTTGTGTGTGTGTGTGTGTGTGTGTGTGTGTGTGCGTGTGCGTGTGCGTGCGTGTGCGT